GGATTTTATTTTAAGCCGCGACCCATTTTCAAACGCGTAAATGGCTCTTTAGATATGTCCTCCAATTGCAACGCAAAATGGGCAACCAATTTACTGAAACAATGCAAAAAAATAAAAAATCATACCAGTCTAGACCTTTCAGGTAGTTGTCGCTACTGAAGAAGTTTGTCTCTACGTATCCATTACTATCCTGTTCTGCCCCCTTCATCCTAGGATGTACTTGCAAGAATTTGCCTAACAATTCGTGACCGCCATGCGGTGGACCCATGACCAGCAGAGATGGAAGGCGGGAACAACTCTTATCAATAGGCCAGATTGCTAAATGACGGTTGTAATCGCAGGGATTCTAAAACATCAAAATAAAGCTTTATTTTAAGGTGCTCTTTAATATGGTTAGAGCAATATAAAAAAATGAAAAGTGTCATCTGTAGGCAAAACCGTGGCTAAATAACTATAAAACATTCCATTTATCTGTGAATTAGTAAATAATCCAGGAATATTACATGTAATGCCTCGTAAACATGCCTCAAGATATAATTAAATAGACTGCAAATTTTTTATCTTTGTTCTCGAGAATATCTTAAGACAGAGAATGAACCCCCAAACGCCTCAAACTCCATATACCATATCTACGAACCCTCAAATTCCACTAACAATACCCAATGCCTTAAGTCTTACAAACAATAACACAATACATCACTCACTTGCCACACTGGTGTGACTTCGTCAGGGAAAATCCTAAAGTGGATGTCAGCTAACTTCTTGGGTGGCGCCGACATCAGCTTCAAGTTGGTCCAACGTTGGACAAATTTTACCAATTTCTTGAACAAATATGGAGCGACTCTGTCGTTGGCGTAGTTCGTCATATGCGTCATGAAGATCGAAACCTGCAAAAGTTTATTGTAAATAAGAAAAAGTTGTCTTTATATCGTAGCTTTGAAAAATCAGTGTGAAAGTAGCTATAGTGTAAAATATGTTGTGTTATGATTTTTGGTTGTCAAACATTCAAACATTTTTCTTTCATTATTTGTTGCAATTTTTCCTTTTTCATTTACTCATTCTTCTTATCCCCACCATTTCATTTTTGTATCCTGACCGCATTCGTCCTCACTTCAACCATTGTACCTTTCTTCTCAAAGTAAACCTGATCAATACATGTATTCTGAACCACGTTTAAGACTTTTCTTTTATTAAGTGACTTTCTTCTAACTTTTAGCGATACTTTATCAAACTAATGTACTGTGTACATTACACAATTTTTACCCCATTTGGTATTTGTTCTATATTATTTAAAAATCTTACCGGGTTTCTCAATACTGTTTCAAAAATCTCTCCACCTTCCACCGTGTGATCTAATGTTGGCTTACCACCTTCAATTTCTCGGAAAAAGTTTGTCGAGGTGAAAATATTGCACGTTTGTCTTGGCACCACCTGCATTGGGAAGCAAATCAGTAAGATCAACTAACATAACCTTTAAAAATTTACGGGCCAGAACACTGTAAAAATCTTAGAAGTTTTTATAGCCCTTGGGTATCACCAGAGGTCCTTGGAAGTCTATATACTCTGTATAGCTATATTTTGCTTTCGTTTCTGCTGAAATTACTCAACCACGTTTACTTTAAATTAAAGCATATATTATATACAATGTAAATAAAGAACTATATATTTGATATTAAATTGATATGTTTGGCGGCCATCTCAAAAACGGAAAAAAGTCTTTTCTTCTTGAATGATTTGCAACGAAATTTACTAAAAAGTCTTGGAAAATTACTGAATCCCATCTTCACTGAACGGTTGACGCTACGGTCGCATTATTCGAAATTGCAACCACAAGTTGTTTAATTAGATAACTGCTTGTTCCAGGAAAATAACCCAGGTCGAAAGGGTGATGAAGACACAATCTTTATTACTCATGCCCTCGACACATTTCACACCGTCTTCGTATAACAATTTCACTAGTATTGCATTTGATTGTAAGTTTCCTTTACCTTAATTCCCATATATTGAAATCCTTTTCTCCGCCAAGCAGGTTTAAGATTTGGATATTCCTCTGTCGATGTAACACTAATGCCATAAACATTTCTCCAAGCTTGGTAAAGAGATTCCTGTACGGGGTATACACCCGAATGATGCGAACTGACTGCATAGCCGCTGTTTATTGCAATTTTGTGTTTCTAAAGAGCAAATACTGCATTAAAGTAAGAAGCAGACTTTATGTCAATTATACAGAGTGTATAAAAAAGTAGACGATTTGCAAATGGTCATTTAACGGAAAATGCTGCAACTGTTATGAAAATTTATGTGAATATGAATAATGAAGGAAGGGTGGTCTGATTTCTTCAGCACTAAAATGTTTCTTTAAATTAATTAAACTCCAGAATGCATAAAAACTGTTCTTGTCATGTACAGTAGCGCACAAAATTGTCTTGCGCGCGATTCAAATACATAAAAGGCATGCAAGTTTAATTTAAAACGTGCTTTATGAATTGCCAAAGCCAAATACCTGGCATGGATAGCTTTTACACCTGAATATTGATTGGTACAGTTTTAATTCAGGGTGTGTAAATCTGAATCTAGTCACTCTATAGCTGGACTGATTTTCAATTTCCTATATCTTATTCTTGTGATCCAAATCCAGGTAGGCAAATCCAGCTACCATTCTACCCCCTAAGGCCCTTCCTTACACAAAGAGACTTGGAAAGGAAAACTTAATAATATTAATAAGAACTGTTTTCTAGACAAAGGTTAACGAAATTATAAACGTATCGAAGAATGCTTTGTAAGAAAACCTTGCGTGCCTGCGGAATACTTAAACCCCTGGTCTAAATCCAGGTTAAAAAATGCAAAAATATCGTGTCAAAATCCTCTATGATTTCATCTGATAAGTACTTGAACAAAATATTAGTACAGTACCTTTGCGAATCTCTTATTTTTCTCCATCAAGTTGGTAAGTATAGTTAAGTTATCAAACTTGTGAGCTTGTTCATGATCCCACATATGACAAAACCAAGAAAATGACGACGAATGCGCAATAAGTTCGTCATCTCCTTCATCCTCAGCCTCAGATCCCCTACCATAACCCTTGCCACTAAAACCAATCTGAAACTGAAAACCTGGAATCTTTCTTTGCAAGAACTTCTGGGTTTGAAGTAATTCCTAAACAGGAGAAGGAAAACGTACTTGCTATAAACATGGTTCCAGAATATTTAAAATATTGTTCCGTTTTCCAGGGGTGTACAAGTGGGGCCGGGGAAGTCAAAGCGGGACGAGTTCTCCTTGTTAAAATGTCATGTCCCACAGTAAAACTTTTCGCGATAAACGAAAACATTGCGTGATATTTTCATACAGTCCGCATTTGATCTGACTTTAACATATATATTGTATGAGCAATTCATTATGAGGCAGTGATTCTGCGAGGGAGAACGCCCAAGTTCATAACATGGGCATGAACATTACTTCGGAAGTTAGGAATAATAGGAAACAGTTGTACTATTTAAATACACTATACCATCTTGGTGTAGATTTTATACTTTTATTAGACCTAACCAGGAGCTGTTGCGAAATATGCAACTCAGTATACACCATGGCAGGAATCGTTTCCAGCGCAGCGATCTAACCAGCCACAGAGCTCAGCTGTCAAACTCAAACCGCAAGTTCGTGCATACATATACAGTATACTAAGGTGATGCCACAATGACATCGTGTTTCGGAAAAATACCAAAAAATTCTTCACCTTCACATCAGTTTTTTTCAGCCTTAGTCCACTTTTTCCAATAAAGATATCATCAATGTCAACTTGAATGTATCTCTGTAACGTATATTTGGGCGGCAGAACAGACAGATACTTCAAAGCGTCCAAGAAAAGCAATCCATGTAGAAAGAACGCTGAATTAAGTGTCGTAAAAATTCTTTTGATTCCCCCCTTTCTCCCGTTGTCCAATAGCATTGCGACTTTCGTATCTCCGCCTCGCACATCAGCCCGCGTTTCTTCCACGCCGCGCGTAGGGACGAGATAAGCTACCGTCTCGTACCGATCATCGAACGGGAAAACCCGAAGGTACGTCAAACGTGTCCTAGACGGCTTCGCAGTCTCAACACCCGGTTTTGTAATCCATAAAATGTTCGAGTCAGGATTGACTCGCAAACTTTGAGCTTTGTTCTTTTCCACTCGTTTTATCTCCAAATTAAATTCTGAAATTTTACCGTAATTATTTCCGGCGAAGAAAATTTGTCCCGCTTTAAATTTCGCGCAGTAATTGTCGATAACGTCTCTGGCTAAACGACTAAGCGATAGAAATGTCTGAAACTCGTAGAAAATAATCAAGGAATATTTCGCCTTGTTCGCATCTTTTGTCATTTCATATTTTAGATCGACAAGTAATCGGTCATCAGTTCGGGTGATTACGTAATGGATTCGGAAACTCTCCAGATACCTCGTAATGTAGTTGACCATTTTGGGCGTGGCAGACTTCGTGTATTTGTGAATGATAAGCGCCGCTCTCTTAGATCTGGGGTCATTTTTTGAGGTGCGGTACTCGTTGTCCCACCTGACGTAATTTCCATATCCATTTTCATCAAAGTTTTGTTGGTTCACCGTTCGTTCTAGAAACGCAAACAAAATCGTGGATAAGATCTTGAGTCACATGTGAAAATGAAGATTCAGACCCCGTACAGATGAGCGAGATTCCCTTGACAAGTTTTTTGACAAGTTTATTGCTTGCTCGTGTGAACGACAAACAATTAATTTTTCTTTGACAAATTTACGAGCCCCCGCTATTTTAAGCACGCAAAAAATTCATGATTATTTTCGTTCAAAGCTTTGAAGAAACTAGAAACAGCTGAAACTGTCTACGGTATAGCACACTACAAAAGCGAATTTCAATATATATACGAGATTTAATGGCAATGTCGAGTTTTCTTTGACCCGGCGGTAAAGCCTAAAGGGAAACAGTTCTCCTTGTTGAAAAGCTTGCATGTCAAGCTTTTCAACAAGGCTCCTTGCAAACGAAAATCTTGATAATTTGTGCGGTACATATACAAGGTGTCCAGCAAAACTTGTCAAAGTTAGCAAACTTGCTCCTTGGCACGGGCTTTAATGTATATCAGTAAAGCTAACACTTTGGAGTTAAAGTTAGAATTGTAAAAAAGTTCGCAATTCCGGTGTTAATGAATGAGATTAGATCAATGGCTGAATACATGCACGATTTCACACCACTCAAACTAAGGACTTCAAATTATTGTATTTCCGTTAAAAGTTGCAGCATGCAGATAAGGGCACTTAACTCTTAAGAACCGCAGAGACAAACAGGCTTCCTTTGAGAACTTCCCATCCGCTGATTAATTGATTAAATTGAATTGTGATATTTCGATCTTATTGTACTGTAATTCATTCCGTAATAGGAACGAAATGAGTGTCCCTATATGTCGTGTGTCGTGGGTTAAAAGTCGTGTGTCGTGGGTAAAGTCGTGGGTAAAGTCGTGGGTAAAGTCGTGGGTCATAAAATGTGCTAAAAACGCATTTTTTCACGAAGATATTATTTTTATTTTTAATATTTTTTTCGTACTTTTTCCATTTATGCACTAGATAAATACAGGAAAATTTAACGCAAAAATCTCCAGTAATAAAATAATTTCTTATCTTGCTGTTATCTATAGTATAACCTGCTATAACAAGTAAATGTTTGATTATGTTTCCGTTTCGTATAGTCTGATAAGCCTATAGAGTATAAATGTATTGTTTGATGTATAAATGTATTGTTTAAGTTATATGATATAGGTTTATTAGCTTTGGAAGTGTTATAGTCCCTATCAATTCATGAACGTCGCGAATAATTATGTCGATTCATGCCGATATGTGTGATACAAACATATGAGGCTATACTGAATTTTACGCTGCAGTGCCTGTATAATTAGTGGCCAACGCTCGAGCCTCAAATTTTGCTATTTTATCCCCTAGACCTAGTATATGTTCGTGGCCCTCAAAGGTATAGACCGAAACATTTCATGTGTATGTGGCGTTCGGAAATATTCCATAAATTGCTACGATTTGGGATTTCCCGATTGAAACCCGAAATGATTTGTGCGATGTCGGGCTAATTGCCAACCGAGCGCGCTAGCCGCTGTTATTTCGACAGAATATGATACCTTTACACTTTTCAGCCGTAATTTTCAGCGCGCACCGTAATCATATACATATCGTTTAATTTAGCTTCAAAAACTTGATAAAAAAAACATGTTATTCGTGTTCCCGCGGAGCGCAATGGTGCGATAGTCAGTTGCTAAAGGCAGAGCACATGCAAAGCCGCCTTGGTATAAATCATGTATGTAACGGGAAATCTTGCTTATTTCAGTCGAATAAAGTCAACCTTTTTTCTTTGATAATGCTGCGCATTTTACATTTAACAAAACAAGTTTTTGAAGCTAAATTAAACGATATGAATAATTCATCAATATGTGATTACAATCCGCGCATTTGTATTACGGCTGAAAAGTGTAGAGGTATCATATTCTGTCAAAATAACAGCGGCTAGCGCGCTCGGTTGGCAAATAGCCCGACATGGCGACATCGAACAAATCAATATCATTTCAGTTTTCAATCGCAAAATCCCAAATCGTATATATAGCAATTTATGGAATATTTACGAACGTCACATACTCTTACTCTTTCAATTTATGGAATATTTCCGAACGCCACATATCCTAAGAACAGCATTCAAACATGAAATTGTTTGTGTATACTTTTAAGGGCCACGAACAAATACTAGTTCTAGGAGATAAAATAGCAAAATTTGAGGCTCGAGCGTTGGCCACTTATACAGCGTAGAATTTATAGCTCAATATGTTTGCACTGATCAGACAGTATGCTATCGACGTAGTTATTCGCGACGTTCATGATAGGGACTACTGAACACTTCCAAAGCTAATAAACCTATATCTTAATATCCTATAACTTAGGACATTTTATCATCAAACAATACATTTATAGACTTATTAGACTACACGAAATTGAAACATTTACTTGTTATACTATAGATAACAGCAAGATAAGAAATTATTTTATTACTGGAGATTTGTTGCGTTAAATTTTCCTGTATTTATCTAGCGCATAAAACTAAAAAGTACGAAAAAATATTAAAAATAAAAATATGAAAAAATGCGTTTTTAGCACATTTTATGACCCACGACTTTACCCACGACACACGACTTTTAACCCACGACACACGACTTTTAACCCACGACACACGACATATAGGGACACTCGAACGAAATATAATAATAAAACATTTCCATCCTGTATAGACAAATTGAAGTTGGTCTCAACACAAGAGTCGCCGGCGAGCATGCTTTGCCTAAACCTTACACTCTGAACCTTAAAGCTTAAACTCTAAGCGTGCAAAGCATAATGGGAGCATCATTTAATCAGTTTCTTAAGCCCTGATTCCACGAGCGCTTTTTGTCAGCGAAATGCGAAATATTTCGCCTGTTTCTTTTGAATTGTGAGCAATCAAGTAGAAATAATTTATTCGAGTGGTCGCAATTCAAAAGAAACAGGCGAAATATTTCGCATTTCGCTGACAAAAAGCGCTCGTGGAATCAGGCCTTTAGAGACATGGTAAATATCTCCTTACGAGAACAATTCATTCACAAATAGCTGTAATAGTCAACTACTAAGCTTGGAACTTGTGAAAAGGTTTAAGGTTTAGAGTTCAAGGTTTGCAAAGGACAACCTTTTTTGAATTGCTTGTATATAATCCTCCGCTCGAAATTCCTATCAGCAAAAACCCTTAAACTGTTACTTCTATCAAGCGAAGTGCCCAAGAATCTCGATATTGGCCGAACCAAAAAATTTTTTTTGCATCTCGTTCGATAGAACTATCAGTTGAAGAGTTTTTGTAGATGGAATTTCCACTGGATGATTATATATACAATTTTAGACCTAACCAGGAGGAGCCTGGCCATGGCACATCTGGAAACATAATAAACATTCTCAACTCATAATAAAAATTCTTAAAATAGATGCCAGACAGAATTTTTCGGCTATTGTTGCTCGCGATATTTATAAACAGAAATTGAGATTTCCGCATCAACACATGAGCATGAAATATTGTTGATTGAGATTGAAAATTACATTAATTAGCGCGCTAATTTTGTCCAAAACAAATACACGGGCAGAAAGCTCGGGATTAAATGAAATACATGGTGCATGTAACCACAAATTGTTCCTTATTTTTACTACATGAACGCCATGTAAAGCTGTAAAGAAAATACTGAATTTTATCCGATCATCATGCGCGCTCTAGTTTCCTATATACGGTTTTAATTTGTGCTAATTTTTCCATTGATATTTTTATTTCCATCTTGTAATTTTATTCCTATTTATAGAGGTGTATGGGCTATGGCAGATATTCCATCTGGAAAAATAATCGTCCTGAACAAAGTTATGCAATAACCCGTTCTAAGGCCACGCGTGGATCGCAAGCACAGCAGCCTGTTGACTATATATATATATATATATATATATATATATATATATATATATATATATATATATATATATATATATATATATATATAATATACAAACAGGTTATAACACTGCCACGACTCCAAGTGAAATTATTTAATAAAAAAATATATATTGCTTTAAATTTTCGGCAGCATGCCACCGCCTTCGTCGAACGAAGGCGGTGGCATGCTGCCGAAAATTTAAAGCTATATATAT